TTATTTTTATATGCCTTTTATTTGAATGTCATTACATTATCTATGTTATTTGCTCTCTCAACATATACTTTGGTATTTAGAAAGTTTTTTTTATCAGTTAGGATTCAGTCTGGTAAGCAGATTGTGAAATAGGATAAGGAATTTATCATAGCAATTAGACTGCTTACATTTATGAGAGGCCTGATGAAGTGAAGATCTGGAAGGGGGAGTTAGAGGATCAGAGGAGTTACCAACCGAATCCTTTAAATCAGTGACAGTGGGCAAATGAGTTGGAACTTTTAGGAAAATCTGAAAAACCACGTATGTCCAGCTACTGAAGTGGGATGAGGAAGGAGGAGGTTGAGGAGAGCTGTATGGAAAGCTCTTGCCAGGAAACAAAACTGTAGGTTTGTAACCAAGCATCTGGTGGTGGGTTTGGACCACTATGGGTCGGCAAGATGAGCACTGTTCAAAAGAAAGAGCTGAATGTAGTGCAGAAGAGAGAGAGAGAGAGTAAAAGCTGGAACTGTGGGTACCTCTGCATGCATCTTTCACTTTATCTGAATGTGAAAACCATCAGAGAATAATCGCTACTGCTTCACTTCTGCATTTCAGGCAGATCTGTACAGGTTAAGTATCCCTTATCTGAAATGCTTGGGATTGGAAGTGTTTCAGGTTTTGGATTTTTTTTTTTTTCTTTTTGGTTTTGTAATATTTGCATTTTGCTTACCAGTAGATCATTCCTAATCTGAAAATTTGAAATATTCCCATGAATATTTCCTTTAAGAATCATGTTGGTGCTCAAAAATTTTGGATTTTGGAGCATTTTGGATGTCAGATTTTTGGATAAGGGATACACAACCTGTACTAATTACCCCTTAGAACAACTGTAACCCAGAACCATACAGTGAATGGGATTCTGAGAAAGTGGTTCCCAGGTTAACAAAGTTGACACAAAATATGCTAGCACAATTTGCATTTTTGTTCTATTGGTTACCATTATATTGCTACCTTTATATAGCATTCTAATTTCCTTCTCTTTGCAGGGTAAAGAGTATTATGTATTGGTTTTCTACTTTGAACAATATTGAAATGAGCTAGTAACCTCTCTCCATCTCCTTCTGTAGCATTTTACCCTCAGTTATTAATCATAATGCAATCAGGAGCATATTCTACTTTTTTATATGCTCTCACTACCATTTCCTCAAGTTTGATCATTGAATCTATATTATCAAGTACATATAGCAATCACATAATATACTTTCTCCCTTCTTATCACCATTCTCAGTTCTTTTAGTAAATATGTTGATACTCCAAATAATGACATTTTGTTCAATAATGGCCTGTGTACAGTATGATGGTTTCATAATATTACTGTACTATAAGTTTACCTTTTCTGTGGCAAGATATGTTTAGATACACAAATACTTACTATTGTGTTAAAGTTGCCTACAGTACAGTAACATGCTCTACAAGTTTGTGGCCTAGGAGCAATGCTATACCATATAGCCGAGAGGTGTGGCAGACTGTACCATCTAGGTTGTATAAGTACACCCATGGTGTTTGCACGGTAATGGGATCACCTAAGGACTTATTTCTCAGAACATATCCCTGTTGTGAAGCATGACTGTATATATTTAATGATTCCTATTCATGTGGATGTCTTCCCAGTTATTTTGGTCATCTGAAGCATATTGTCTCTCTAGTAGATCCCTCAGGAAAAGACCAAAGGAACAATATTTTGAAGGCTCTTGTATTTCAGAACAATTTGTTATCATTATACAGTTGTTCTTCAGAATCTGTAGAGGATTGCTTTCATGACTGCCCATAGATACCCAAATCCACAGATGGCTTAAGTCCCACATAAGGAAATAGTGTAATATTTGCATATAAAGTATACAGGAAGATGTGCACATCTTCCTGTATACTTTAAATCATCTCTAGATTACTTTTAATACCCAATACAACATGAATGCTATGCAAATAGTTGTTATGCTATATTGTTAAAGGAATAATGAGAAGAAAAAAGTCTGTACATGTTCAATACAGACAGATTTTTAAAAAATTTTCTGATCCACAGTTAGTTGAATGTACAGACTCAGAACCCATAATACGGAGGGCTGGAATTCAGTTTGGCTGAACATAAAATCCTTAGTTTACATTTTCGTCCTTGAGTATCTTAAATTTATGTTGCTCCATTGTCTTCTGATATAATAATTTGTCAAAATCTGATGACAGTCTACTTTTTGCTTTTTGTATAAGTGACTTCCTATTTCTGCCTGGACGTTCAAAAGATTTTTTTTCTTGTTCTCATGGTTCAGTAGTTTTACTAAAATATGTTCTGATGTTAGTCATTCTGGGTCAGTTTTCCCAGATGTATGGTATGCCTTTTATTTATATAGTTTCAGGTATTTTTTTTTTAATTTCAAAAATAATTTTCAGCAAGGTTTTCTTGCATTCTAGTTTCTAGTATTTATTTTATTCCATTAGTTTGATTTCTTTCTTTGTTATTATATGTATGTTGTCACTTTATTGCAAGTTCTCATCTCATTTTTTTTTTTTTTTTTGAGTTGGAGTCTCACTCTGTCGCCCAGACTGGAGTGCAGTGGCCGCTCCCGGCCACCGCAACCTCGACCTGCTGGGCTCCGGCGATCCTTCCTCCTCAGCCTTCCAAGTAGCCGGAATTACAGGCATGCACTATCACGCCTGGCTGATTTTTTTGATTTTATTGTAGAGATGAGGTCTTGTTGCCCAGGCGGGTCTCGAACCCGCGGGCTCAGGCAATCCACTCAGCTCAGCCTCCCAAAGGCGCGGGATTACAGGCTGAGCCACCGAACCCGGCTTCTCATCTCATTTTTTTAGCTTAGAAAATATAGTTTATTCAAAAGTAAATTAGAGAGAGAGAGAGAAAAGAGAAGATTCACCTTCCCAAGGGAGGGGAGGGGACTAAAGCTTAGGAAAACATGTCCTGGCCATAGCTCAAAGAGCACATGGCCATACCATAGCTTAGCAAGGCAATGGCCTCATTATCTCATTTTTAATTTCTGTTTTGTATTATACCTTTTCTCCTTTTTAAAATTTTTAATTTCTCCTAAAGCATTATCTTTTGTGTTAATTCACTCTTGTATATCTTCTGGTTAGTCTTCATTTCTGATTTTCTTTTTTCCTAATTATTTCTTGAGTTCTATCAACTTATTTATATTTGTAATTCTAATATGTATTATTTCATATGCTTTATCATTTTATTAATTTCAGGCTGGTCTCGAACCTCTGAGCTCAGGCAGTCCTCTTGCCTCCACCTCCTAAAGTGCTGGGATTACAGGCATGAACCACTGTACCTGGCTTATGATCTTCATAATTAACATTATATAATTCTCCAGCTTTGTTACTCTCTTTTATACTCTAAAAATGTCTCCTCCTCTTTTATTTAGTATTTCTTTGCTATCAAATTGACCATTTATTATTAACTGACTTAGCATACTTGGGCAGGCCACTTGGTCTCCTTATACCTTTATTTGTACCATTTATAAAATGAGGGCTGGACATGGTGACTCATGCCTGTAATCACAGCATTTTGGGAGGTGGAGGTGAGAGGACTGCCTGAACCCAGGAGTTTGAGACTAGTCTGGGCAATATGGTGAGACCTCATCTCTACAATAAATCAAATAATTAGCTGGGCGTGGTGGCACATGCCTGTAGTTCCAGCTACTTGGAAGACTGAGGTGGAAGGGTTCCTTGAGGCCAGCAGATCGAGGCTGCGGTGGGCATAAGCAGCATGCTACTACACTCTAGCCTGGGTGACAGACTCCAACTCAAAAAAATAAAAAATAACAAATTTTTTAAAAGAGAGGATGTTGGACTCAGGGTTGTTTGTTCTTTTCACAGAGTAGCCTCACTAGGGTTCTTTGTTAGCAGGGTTTAATATTAAAGAGTAACCATATTCATGTTGCTTTAAATACAGAGTACTCTACTTGGAAGACTGAGGTGGAAGGATTGCCTAAGTCCAGCAGGTCGAGACTCCAACTCAATAAATAAATAAATAAATACAGAGTACTACTTAATTTTTTTTTTTTAATTGAGTCAGTCTCACTCTGTTGCCTAGGCTGGAGTGCAGTGGTACAATTACTGCTGCAGACTCGACCTGCAGGTCTCAGGTGATCCTTTTGCCTCAGCCTTCTAAATAGCTGAGGCTACAAGCGTGTAATACCATGACTGGCTAATTTTTGGATTTATTGTAGAGATGAGGTCTCGCCAAGTTGCACAGTCTGATCTGGAACCCCTGGGCTCGGGCAGTCCTCTCACCTCCACCTCCCAAAATGCTGGGATTACAGGAGTGAGCTACCACACCCTGCTAGGATGCTACCTTTGAACAGGGTAGAGATGAACTTCTCGGCAGTGGAACTTAACTCATTCTCAGAGAAATGTAAATGTGATCCCCTCAAAGGATATTTTTTCACATGGGATTTTTCTGTTTGTTCCGTTACTCCCTCAATTGTATAGCTGAAGGTGGTTGTCTTACCTGATACAATCTTACTGTGTTTGTTCCAGGTTTTATGGTTTGTTCTTATTTTTAAACAATTGGCAATTATTTGCTATTATTGACTAGAAGTCTGGGGCATAGATTTCCTGGATCTGTTGTTCCTTTGATTGAATTCAGTGTATAAGGGGAAGAGTTGTGTGCATTTATTGTAGACATTCTCTAAAATAATTTTTAGCTACAAGGAAATAACTCTATTTCTGTGAGTCATAATCCTTCTTATGTAGTGCTAGGTAGAGGATTTAATTTTGAAGATAGAGATTTATGACTTTTAGAAAAGAAAACTGCAAAACTGAAATTTCCAAAGAATTTAAGAATTGATATAAGCTATCATACATTAAAAATTGGAATTTGAAATACAAATAGAGGTAACTGAGGTGGATAGACTTTTCCTAAAATGCCATAATTTTAATGGGAATTAAAAAATTACTTTTAGTCATTTTCAAGGGTAAGCTCTTAACATGTTTTTTTTTTTTCCTCCATCAGCTTCCAATAAAAACAGGACAGCAGAACACACATACCAAAGTCAGTACCGAACATAACAAGGAATGTCTAATCAATATTTCCAAATACAAGTTTTCTTTGGTTATAAGTGGCCTCACTACTATCTTAAAAAATGTTAACAATATGGTGAGTATTTGGGTTATTGTTTTGGGGGGTGGAATTTGCTTTGTTATTGACTTAAAAGTTTGGAGTAGCATGTTTTAAGGTATGGGAAGTAATTTTCTGTGGACTTTAGATATAATAATTCATTTTAGGGTTTCATACAGCTTTTGTGTCATATATGAATTGATCGTGGTAATCTATTATGTGCTTTTCTTTAGCTTCTTATTTGAATCTACATATCAGATTGTCCCAGTGTTAAGTAGATGATAAAAAATATGAGCTCGTAGTCCAAAAATGTGAGATTAATTTTAATGAAGATAATTTTTTTCTCCCCCCTGTAACCTGTGACTGATTCTGTAATAGAGAGCCTGTTGTTGAAACAACTTTTCTCAAATACCAGTTTCATCAAGTAATTCCTCTGTTAAAAGCTTGTAAATTATTTTTTTTCTCATTTTATAAAATCTATTGATATTCCCTAGAGCTTTTTTTTTTTTTTTTTTTTTTTGAGTCGACATCTCACTCTGTCACCCAGGATAGAGGGCAGTGTCACGCTCATAGTTTCATCAAGTAATTCCTCTGTTAAAAGCTTGTAAATTATTTTTTTTCTCATTTTATAAAATCTATTGATATTCCCTAGAGCTTTTTTTTTTTTTTTTTTTTTTTGAGTCGACATCTCACTCTGTCACCCAGGATAGAGGGCAGTGTCACGCTCATAGTTTCATCAAGTAATTCCTCTGTTAAAAGCTTGTAAATTATTTTTTTTCTCATTTTATAAAATCTATTGATATTCCCTAGAGCTTTTTTTTTTTTTTTTTTTTTTTGAGTCGACATCTCACTCTGTCACCCAGGATAGAGGGCAGTGTCACGCTCATAGTTTCATCAAGTAATTCCTCTGTTAAAAGCTTGTAAATTATTTTTTTTCTCATTTTATAAAATCTATTGATATTCCCTAGAGCTTTTTTTTTTTTTTTTTTTTTTTGAGTCGACATCTCACTCTGTCACCCAGGATAGAGGGCAGTGTCACGCTCATAGTTTCATCAAGTAATTCCTCTGTTAAAAGCTTGTAAATTATTTTTTTTCTCATTTTATAAAATCTATTGATATTCCCTAGAGCTTTTTTTTTTTTTTTTTTTTTTTGAGTCGACATCTCACTCTGTCACCCAGGATAGAGGGCAGTGTCACGCTCATAGTTTCATCAAGTAATTCCTCTGTTAAAAGCTTGTAAATTATTTTTTTTCTCATTTTATAAAATCTATTGATATTCCCTAGAGCTTTTTTTTTTTTTTTTTTTTTTTGAGTCGACATCTCACTCTGTCACCCAGGATAGAGGGCAGTGTCACGCTCATAGTTTCATCAAGTAATTCCTCTGTTAAAAGCTTGTAAATTATTTTTTTTCTCATTTTATAAAATCTATTGATATTCCCTAGAGCTTTTTTTTTTTTTTTTTTTTTTTGAGTCGACATCTCACTCTGTCACCCAGGATAGAGGGCAGTGTCACGCTCATAGTTTCATCAAGTAATTCCTCTGTTAAAAGCTTGTAAATTATTTTTTTTCTCATTTTATAAAATCTATTGATATTCCCTAGAGCTTTTTTTTTTTTTTTTTTTTTTTGAGTCGACATCTCACTCTGTCATTCAGGCTGGAGTACTGTGGCACTCCTGGGCTCAGGTGATCCTCCCACCTCAGCCTCCTGAATAGCTGGGACTACAGGTGTATGCCACCACCACACGTGGCTAATTTTTAAATTTTTTTTTGTAGAGATGGGGTCTTACTATGTTATCTAGGGTGGAACATTCCCTAGACTTTAAGGTATTCCATCTGTTCTTCCTCTGTACCTTTGAATATAGTGGGGTGCCACAAAAATATACACATATATCTGGGTTCAGTGGCTCAGCCTGTAATCCCGTGCCTTTGGGAGGCTGAGGTGAATGGATTGCCTGAGCCCGCGGGTTCGAGACCCACCTGGGCAACTTGGCGAGACCTCATCTCCACAATAAATAAAAAAAATAAGCCAGGCGTGGTAGCACGCCTGTAGTTCCAGCTACTTGGAAGGCTGAGGCGGAAGGATCGCCGGAACCCAGCAGGTCGACGCTGTGGTGGCCGGGAGCGGCCACTGCACTCCAGTCTGGGCGACAGAGTGAGACTCCAACTCAAAAAAAAAAAAAAAAGTGCACACATTTTAAGAGATTTTAAAATGATATTTGCTATCATCAGAAGTGTCTGGACATTGATGACAACCACTCTGAGCACCTCTTGCAATTGCAGAAGTTCAACATAACTTGTATACATCATAGCATTACAATTTTAATACAATTTTTTCCTTTCTTCAAATGTATATGCATTTTTTGGCACCCTCTGTGTCATGTCCTTCATCTCTCTCAGGTGATCTCTTCCTCTCTATCGATTCCTGTCTGACATATTCTTCATACTCATTTCAGAGCAGCTGATAGGAATTTTTCTTAATTAACTTCAAGTTCTTTGCTTTTCTTTAGCACTTATAATCTCATTTTGTATTGTTTGTATTAAGTTGTAAAACAAGTTCTGGTTGTAGATTGTGAAGATTAATCTCATTTTTGTTTAAGATCGTCTTTAGGTTTACTGGGTAATATTCTGGTATGTCATTGAAAAGACATGCGGTCAGTTACCTTTTTGCCTTTTTCCCATTTTTAGGCACTTTTTTTTGTTGTTAATTGACATATAATAATTGTACATATTCATGGGGACAAATTGATGTTTCAGTACATATAATGTATAGTGATCAGACAGGGTCATTAGCATATCCAATATCTCAAACATTTGTCATTTTTTTGTGTTGGAAACATTCAATATCCTCCTTTTAGCTATTTGAAACTGTATATTATTGTTAACTGTAATTGTTCTACAGTGGTATAGAACACTAGAACCTGTTCTTCCTATTGAGTTGTACTTTTCTATCCTTTAACAGATCTCTTCCTAACTCCATCTTCCCAGGCCCTAGCATCTCATTTCTACTTTTTACTTCTGTGAGATCAACTTTTTTTAGCTTTCACATATGAGTGAGAACATGCAGTGTTTAACTTTCTGTTCAAATCATCTTCGTTGTGTTTCCTTTTAAGAAAGTTGCTTAGACAATACTCAAAATTACAAAACTAATAAACTGGAGGTTATAAATGGTTAGAAAACCATTTGCCTTTCAAAAAGATTTTTTTCTTTATGGAAAAAGAAATTAATGTTTTCCTGAAAAGAGCAGGACCTTTGATAAATATATAAAGGGATTTACAAAAATACATTTGCTATTTTGTATGGTTCTTCTGTTGCAGTGTGTGAGGTGCACAGTGATAAGACTTGACTCATTTGAATATGTGACCATGCTCCCAGTTAGATGGAAATAGTTAGCATTTGAGATCCTCTTTCCAAAACAAAAATAATATTGTGATAATGACGTTTATTTAGTACTTGTTGAATAACTTAAATTGTGGAAGCCATAGTATCTTGTTGGTTAATAAACAGTGCAGTATTCATTTTGAGGATAGTGAATACTTAAAATTAGCTATAGTTGGTGTTATAGCATTTTGTTACTGTAAGATGTAAGAATTTGGTTATTTTTTGGCATAAGAGTATAATTAAATGCTCAATTCGAGATTTTGGGACAGATTCATATGTGTGTCTAAATTCTGCCTGTTTAAAAAGCATAAACCAAAACAGCATCTTTTACGTTACAAGGTTAATGACAGACTCTAATAAATGCCAACATTTCTGTTTTCCTGATAATTTATTTTGTATAAGGAGTAGGATAAAATCAGAAATAATAGATTTAAATATAGTATAATCTGGGAGATAAAAGGAAAAGTATATTGATTTTTCTGGATGCTTAGTGCCTCGCTTTTCAGTTGTGTGTTATTTGGTGGTGGAGCGTGATAACCAGCTTTTATGTTCTGAATATCTTTTCTGTTAGAGAATATTTGGAGAAGCTGCTGAAAAAAATTTATATCTCTCTCAGTTGATTATATTGGATACACTGGAAAAATGTCTTGCTGGGGTAAGTAAATCTGTTCTTAAGTAGGCATACTTTGTAAATTCAATCTTGAGAATGATCTGATGTACCAAAGTGTCAGTGTGAGCAAAGAGGACAGTCATATGGCCTTGTTATCTAAGACATAGGCATTTTGTTAGTACAGCTGACTTCGTGGCACAATTTTTCATGAGAAAATTATTTTCTTATCTTTTATAAAATAGATAGATATTAAGTTTACTCATAGAGTGTTAAGTTTTAGCCATATATCTGTGTCTCAGGTTTTTTAGAAAATATTTTAATGAAGAGATCACTATTTGATTTAACTAATCTCTCAGAGAGAGCTGTGAAAAGGATGTGATTCAGAGGACCAAGAGTAATCATGTATTCTGTCCCATATGAATATGATTTTAGTATTCTTTTTCAGAAGAATGTAAAAGAGAACTTAAAAATTATACCTGTTCTATTTAGGATAGTCATTGCCTTAAGAGCACTTGCTTTGTGTAAATACAAACATATATAGTAGGTAAGTGGAGGAGTAGTTGAGTATCCCAAAATTCTTAGGTTTTCTCTAAGTTGTTATCTCAGTGTATTTCAGCCATGACTTAATATGTACTTTTCCAAGACTATTTCTCTTGTGGAAAGAAGTGTTTTAATACTTCAGTAGCCTTAATTCTTCCTAGAACATTGCAGAAGCTTTTTTTTTTTTTTTTTTTTTTTGAGTGGGAGTCTCACTCCTTCGCCCACACTGGAGTGCAGTGGCACACTCATGGCCACCCCAGCGTTGACTTTTTAGGCTCTGGCGATCCTTCCGCCTCAGCCTTCCAAGTAGCTGGAACTACAGGTATGCACTACCATGCCTGGCTTTTTATTTTATTGTAGAGACAAGGTCTCGCCAACTTGCCCAGGCTGGTCTTGAACCCGCGGGCTCAGGCAATCCACTTGCCTCGGCCTCCCAAAGTGCTAGGATTACAGGCTGAGCCACCAAGTCTGGCGGAAGTTTATATTAATGTATAAATTAAATGCCTTCATTGTAAAGATCATTGTAAAGATCTGCCTATACTATGTGTATTGGAATTAACATATTTCTTATATTCTCTCTTCCTTTGGCACAGAATTCAGAATTTTGTTTTTATTCAGATTTGTTTCTTTCGTCCTTGGATGTTTCAGCTTTCTCTGTGGTAAAACTTGATGGACGGGACCTTAATACATGAGGACTAATTGTGTGGTTGAAAAGAGAGGGAACGGTCAGAGGTGTTTGTGGAAGGGATTGGACAGGGAATGAAAAACAATAATTATATTGACACAATTATGTATTGCTAGGGAAGCCTATAGGCCACAAAATCTAAGCGTAATATTTTAAACTCTCGTATTAACCTTTGACCATATTCCAGAATGGTGGGGACAGGGTTTATAAGTTTTCTACTTACAATTGTGGGTGAGCTAGTTGTTTTAGCGTGGTGTTTTCTGTTAATGTGTGATGTGCTTATTTGTAAAATGTAGTGAAAGCAAAAGGGCAGTTACATAAGATGATGGAATTGGGAAGAGGGCAGTTTTTAAACATCCTGAGTCACTTCTTTGAAGTGGTCTTATTACTTTGATTATGAATTACCAGTATATCAACCATACCCATGATTGAATGAGGGTAGGGTAGTTTATTGCCTCTTTCAGTTCCACAGCTTTTCCACTTTAACATTTGTAATTGAGAGATAATGATAAATGTATTTTGGGAAATTAACACTGATACTATTGGCCCCTGTTTGTTTTAATACTCTTTGAAGGTAGTCTAATTGAAATGCTAATAAGTGGGCTTGATATAATTTATATAATGCATAAAACATATATTACCTTGCCCTACTCTGTTATTGAAAAATGTTCATTAATTTTGAAGTTTTAAAAGTAATACTGTTCATAGTATTGAACAATTGTGTTTTCTTGGATTGCTTTCAATGATTTTACAGATGTCTCTTCTCAGTTTTTTTTTTATTTTTTTTTGAGTTGGAGTCTTACTCTGTCGCCCAGACTGGAGTGCAGTGGCCGCTCCCGGCCACTGCAGCCTCGACCTGCTGGGCTCCAGCGATCCTTCTGCCTCAGCCTTCCGAGTAGCCAGAATTACAGGCATGCACTACCATGCCCCAGCTGATTTTTTGATTTATTGTAGAGATGAGGTCTCGCTGCCCAGGCGGGTCTCGAACCCGCAGGCTCAGGCAATCCACTCACCTCAGCCTCCAAAAGGCGCGGGATTACAGGCTGAGTCACTGAGCCCGGCTTCTTCTCAGTTTTAACTCAAGGTAAATTGAGACAGTTTAAGAAGAACTGAGCCTATGAGAACATGTTTATTATATAAGTAGTTGGGATAGCTAATTGAAAGAGAGCTAATACCAATATCTTATTAATAACATTTTGGGCCAGGCTTGGTGGCTCAGCCTGTAATTCCACGCTTTGAGAGGCCGAGGTTGAGTGAATTGCCTGAGCTGAGGGTTCGAGACCTGCCTGGGCAACTTGATGAGACCTCATCTCTACAATAAACCAAAAAAATTAGCCGGGCGTGGTAGTGCACGCTTGTAGTTCCGGCTATTTGGAAGGCTGAGGCGGAAGGATCGCCGGAGCCCAGCAGTTTGAGGCTGCGGTGGCTGGGAGCAGCCACTGCACTCCAATCTGGGCAACAGAGTGAGACTCTAACTCAAAAAAAATAAATAATAACATTTTGTAGAATTTGTGGAATCTTAAGTATTTTTGTTCCTGTCCATGTGACTGTTATTCAAAAGATCTAATGCTTCTCTGATTTTTATTTATTAATTGGCATTAGTTTCAACATCTGTATTGTTTGAATAGTCTGTAAACAAGAAATATACATCGTAACTTGAATTTTGCAGTTTTTGTGAAATTCTGTTTATTTACTGTCCATATATTTCAGGGTATTTGCATCTGAAAGTTCTTGGATTGCAATTACAGAATCAGGAATAACTCACAATTATATGGATTTTTGTTCTTTGCCATCCTGCTCAATATTATTAAAACTATTATTCATATATGGATATCAAAGCCATTAGGCTGTTCCACATTTCTTTTTCATCTATCTGCAGGATAGCTTATCTATTGGGATTTTGTTCATTGTAAAGTAGATATTTGCTTTACAAAGTAGAGATTTCCATGTTAACACCAAAGTTGCCAAAGTTGATGTAGTTGCTAGGGGACTACCTGGCGTTATGCTCATGACATTATGTAATATGAACTGTACTGAATTACCTAAAATATTTAACCTAAATCTCACCCAACTATTAGGTTTGAATTTTAGCTTACAGAAAATGCAGTACAGTAACAAGAAGAACAAATTAAGTTGTATCACTAGGAAATAATTAAATCGAGAATATAGAATGTTCTGTAAGGCAACTGGCTCAGTTTCTTAAGTCAATGTCATGGCAAATAAAAGTGATATATATAGGGAGTGTGGAGCAGACTGCTCTAGAATAAAGAAACGAAAGGAATGTAACAGTCATGTTGCAGTCTATGAACCTTTTTTGGATCCTCATTGAATTAAAAAAAGCTGTGAAGGACATTTTGGGGGCATTGATGAAATTTGAATTCAGATTTGGGTATTAGATGATACAAGGGAGCTGTTTATTTTTCCTTTAGGATTTATTTGGATGTTAAGACAGTTCAATACCAATCAGCACGAGTAATGTTTATTTAGAACTCCCAGCAAACTGAGGATTCCCAGAAATTAAAGGCTCATTTGATGAACAAGAGAACAAGCAGGAGTGGGAGGGCTAATGAGGATGGATGGAGGATTAGGGTGGGACATGGAGCCATCTTCTTTATTAGACTATCCATAGATAGATGAAACGTTAGCAATTATTGAATCTAGGTGATGAGCATATGAATGTTCATTATTCTACAGCAGCTTTTCTGTATTTTTGCACGTTTTTATAATAGACAGTGTTCACAGGTAACATTTAGAAAGTTTTAGAATATGTGATTTTTAAAAAATTTATTTAATTTTAAAGATGTGGGGTACCATTCAGGGTTAGGTACATATGTGGTTATCGTACAGGTAAAGTTTGGGCCTCCCTTTGGTCCCCACTTCACCTGGTTTGAGATCAGGTACCCTTATTGTTGTTGTGTCTTTTCCTCCCCCACCCCTGCAAGTGTCCCACTACTGCCAATCCCTTTCTTATAGTATGATAAATGTTCAGGGTCTGCTTATAAGTGAGTACATGTGGTACACAGTTCTTTGTTTCTGTGATAGATCACTGAGTTTTATAGATTCTAAATTCATCCAAGTTTCTGCAAAGTTCATAATTTTGTTTTTCTTTATGACTGCATAATATTCTATTGTGTATGATTATTTCTATTTTAGCAACCAAAGGACACAATGAGATTAGATGAAACTATGCTGGTCAAACAGTTGCTACCAGAAATCTGCCATTTTCTTCACACTTGTCGTGAAGGAAACCAGCATGCAGCTGAACTTCGGAATTCTGCCTCTGGGGTTTTATTTTCTCTCAGTTGCAACAACTTCAATGCAGTCTTTAGTCGCATTTCTACCAGGTTAGTGTGTAAATCCACATGAGACTATTGAAGTAATATGAATTTTAGAAGTCTTTTTGTGTCTATGTAAAAATAAAAAGTTAAGAGAAATGAGTTTTATCTGCGTTTTTGTAGAAATTTTATGCATTAATTTCTTTGAAATTTTGATTATGTGATATTGTGATATTGATGCGTATAGTTAAATATGAGTACTGTTATAAACGTGAAAGACTAAATTTCAGGAAAAAATGTCTCCCATGACCAGGCTTTTAAAAAAATACCACGTGTGAATTATTGATTTGGCTTTTTAAAATATTACTCCTTTAAATAAAACTAGCCAATCAGGTGGAATAGTTGATAAGACTAGACAAAAGTCTAATAATCTCATAGCTCTGCCATTTATCCCAAGATCTGAAGTTAACAAAAAAACCACTGTATTATGTGGAAGCACAGAGAAGTGACTAATCGCAAAGAAGAATTCTCCAGAAAGTGAACTGTGTTTTAATATATGTTCATTGAGTGTTTACAGCATATGCTGTGTTGCTCTGTCCTCACAGTAACCCTGATGATCTTTCCCCCATTTTACAGGTAAGCAAACTCATATCCAAAAAAGTTAGGGTGATATGCCAAATAATGGAGGACCCCAAATTTCTTGGTCAGGCTGACTTCAGAATTTATATTAGTTTTTAAAATAAGTATACTTCTATTTTAGCCATATTTTGATGAGCTCCTTTTTATAAAACGTACTTCTGTATTTCAAAGATATATCATACATATGATTTAAGCTTTTATTGATGATTCAAAAAGCATCATTGTATCAGTTGTAATATGCTGCAGATGGAGAAATTAGTTATAGTGTTCTGTGGGATAGAATTATAAGTGACAGTAGCAAGTAACTCTGGAAGTTGCTTTCATGCAAATGATTTGCCTTTCTCATGCAAGTAAAGTCAAATGGATTGTTAATTATGATCAGGTAGGAAGTATAACAAATCATTTAATGATTTAGTGAATCCAGGACTAATACAGAAGAGAGAAGAACAATCCTCTTTATTTATCAGTGCGGACATCTTTAGCTTGTCAGCATTGTGCAAACAGTAGGCTTCCATTAGACAGATTCACTCAATCTTTTGTTGTTTTCCAGCAGGTGTGAATGAGAACGTTGATCATACTTTGAGAATTTGTGCTATGGTGTTTTGAGGAATTGACTAACTTCAAAGTCCTTCAGTCTTTTAAATCAAAAATGACATTTCTATAATTATGATGCTAGGCAACAGTATTTTCCAACTTTATCAGAATTCCTGGTCCAAAGAAAGTTGAAGTTTTATTTAATGGTATATGATTGATAATATACCATTTGAAATGTTTATGTGGTAGAACGATGTTTTCATGAAATCTTTTGAGTAATAACATTTTATATTCTGAGTAATAACACGTTGACTGAATCAGCAAGGTAACAGGAAAGTTAGGGAATAGGAGGGTGGACAATTATAAAAAACAAAAAATCATTTTTATTTAAGTGACTTGCTAAACCAGCCCTACTGTTTGAAGTAATCTTACACTGAAGGTAGAAAGTGATTAAAACAGTTAAATGTTTTTTAGTTTATCCAAGCATGAGTTGCTTTATAAGACACAGCAAATGTGCCACCTTTGGAAACTCTAGTTTTTTTTTGGTTGTTGTTGAATTGGAGTCTCACTCTGTCACCCAGACTAGAGTGCAGTGGCACACTCCTGGCCACTGCAGCCTCAACCTGCTGGGCTCTGGTGATCCTTCCGCCTCAGCCTTCCAAGTAGCTGGAACTACAGGCGCACGCTACCACACCCGGCTAATTTTTTGATTTATTGTAGAGATGAGGTCTCGCCAAGTTGCCCAGGCGGGTCTCGAACCCGTGGGCTTAGGCAATTCACTCACCTTGGCCTCCCAAACGTGGGATTACAGGCTAAGCCACCAAGCCCGGCCTGGAAACTCTAGTTTTTTAAGTCACCAAAAGTTTTATTTTATGGGATATTGCAGCATTAGCACATGTAAAAATAGACTTTTAAAAAAATTTCCTGAATCTAGTTTATTGTATGTTGCCAGAATAGAAGTGTCTAAAAAATTTTATTAGCTTTCAGGGGACGGACCACTTAGAAATAGGGTCTATAAAATAATATATTTCAGACAACTGCATTTGTTTTTTTCATTTAGCTTGTGTCAGAAATAGGAGATCTTGTTAGAGGACCACTCACTTAAGTGACCATAATGATGGTTTAGTTTATGTGGGAACATCTTATGATGTTGCTGTTATAGCATTAGCTGACTTAAAATATGCAAGTTCCTTGAATGGCAGTTCTTTCTAAATACTGATCTATATTTCACAAATAATCAACATGACAAACATATTTTGTGTTTGACCTTTCTCTCTGCAGTGTTTCTCCTTTAAGATTGAGTTGTAGGGGGTGGGGTGGGGGTGGGGATGGGATTGGCAGCTGAGGGAAACTGCCAGGGGAGGGAGGGGCTTACCTCATCAACAAGGGTACCTGCATAATGAACATTTGTATACCTAACCCTGAATTGTATCTCACATCTTTAAAATTAAAAAAAAAAAAAGATTAAGAGTTGCTTTTTTATTTTTTTGACCTTTAGGGGAAGATGGGCTATACATATTAAGATAACTTTATTCTTCTGCTGGAATATACCATGTTCTGTGGCTCAGTACTCTCCTTTGCAGAGAATTACTATACACCTGCAGTGTTTTTCTACAGAATTACTATACACCTGCACTAGAGCTAGTTGTTTTGTAGTAGGGTGGTACTTCAGAATATCTAGTTTGATATGCTACCAGCAGCAGAAGACTCAATGACTTTAAAAGTCTTTTGTTTCTTTACAGTTTACTGTTTGGTTCTGGACGAATCCATTTTTTGATTTCTTTTTCTTTTTGCAAGGTTTATTTAGAAAATAAATGAGAGAGAAAGAGAAAGAGAAGATTCACCTCCCCAAGATAGGGGAAGGGGCCAAGGCTAAGGAAACATGATGGCCACAACTCAAAGAGCCATGTGGAAAAAGCAGAGTTTAACAAAGCAATGGATCACATTTTTTATGATTTCTTATTTTTAAAAATAGATTTCAATTTTTTCTCAAATTTCTCTATTTAAAACATTTCATATTCTCTTTAATATTGTTAATTTATCTCATGTTTGTATGTGCTGATTTTCATTAATAGTGAATTGTTTCCTCTCTCTTTTTTAATCTCTGGTTGCGAACTTATTTTTAGTGTGGCCTGTATTTTCTTTGGGGATCTTTTGTAGTCTTGGACTGTGGAAGTATTCTAATAATGGTTTTGCATTTGTGTTTGCTAGGTGTCCAGCCCTGGACCTATTTTTTTGTTAATTTGTCAACCCAATTGTACAGGTAGTTCATCTTTAGAACTAATCCCTTATAAGGTAACAGCTCTGGGTGACTTTTTTGTTCCCTACCCAAAGCTTAGGCAGAGCAGATAAACATTTTTGTGCTGGTAAATGTCCTTCCTTCCTTCCTCCCCTCTCTTCCTCCCTTCCTACCTCCTCCCCTCCCTTCCTTTTTTTCTTTCCTTCTTTCTCATAGTTCTTTCTAGTTTGTAGAACCCCAGTTCTAACCCCTGCATCATTAGGGTACAAGGCTTTCTACTTAGTCTCCATGTAGATGTTAAGCCTCAAACTCCCAGGTTGAGATTAAAAAGTCCCTTGGCCGGGCTTGGTGGCTCAGCCTGTAATCCCAGCACTTTGGGAGGCCAAGGCGAGTGAATTGCTTGAGCCTGTGGGTTCGAGACCTGCCCGGGCAACTTGGTGAGACCTCGTCTCTACAATAAATCAAAAACTAGCCGGGCATGGTAGTGCGTGCCTGCAGTTCCAGCTACTTGGAAGGCTGAGGCGGAAGGATCGCAGGACTCAGCAGGTCGAGGCTGCGGTGGCTGGGAGCAGCCACTGCACTCCAGTCTGGGCAACGGAGTGAGACCCCAACTCAACTCAGAACAAAACAAAACAAAACAAAATCTCCCTCATCCTTTTTTTGTTGCAGAACCAGATCATGCACTGAACTCTGATTTTTAGTTTCCTCATTTCTAGACCTGAGTGAATGGGTGGTGTTTTACTTTATGCATTTAACATATCTTTCTGTTGTTTTTCAGTATGTCTAGTCATTCTTGATGTTTTAGTGATAAGTTTTCCACACTTGATTTCTTTTGCTCAGACTACCCTTTAATTTCTCTGCTTCAGAGATGACATTTGACCTTTGCAAAATACCCCTTTTCTAAAGGGACAGATTTTTTCTTCCATTTTTCACAAGTAACCTTCAGAAGTCAGCTTTTCAAAAGTTGGTGTTACTGTTATATTATTACATTGTGTTTTCTAAGGAGTAATACTCCATGTTTCTATGCTCTTTGCTGCAGCTGTGGAATTTTTAGTATGTACGTCAGTATTTAGGACCACCTTACTCCCAACTTGAACTGCTGAGCTTTTCTTACCCTTATGATATGAATAGCTTTAAAGTGCTTGAACTGCTGAACTTTTCTTACCCTTATGATATGAATAGCGTTAGTTTAAGTGCTTAGAATGATTTGAAAGTTAGCTATAGGCTAACATAAGCTAAAGTGAGTAAAAGGAGAATTTAAGAAGGAAGAAATAGGATTGATTACATTTTTATCAATTGAAATTTTAGTGTGATGTTTAATAAGTCAGTTTTAAACTGCACGAAAATGATTAGAATTCAAGTTGATACTTATAAATAAGACCATATAGTATTTGTGCTTTTTTTGCTGTATCTGTTACTACATTTATAAAAATTGGTAATTCTATTGTACTACTTACATTTTTTGATGTCTGTTAATATGAATAATGGGTACACCTCATTAGGTAGCACAATTTAATATATGGTGATACCAGCTGGATGCGGTGACCCAAGCCTGTAATCCCAGGGCTTTGGGAGACAGAGACAAGAGGATTGCCTGAGTGCAGGGATTCAAGACCAACCCCGGCAACTTGGCAAGACCTCTTCTCTATAATAAATCAAAAAAATTAGCCAGGCATGGTGGCACACGCCTGTAGTTCCAGCTACTTGGAAGGCTGAGGTAAAAGTATCACTTGAACCCAACAGGTCAAGGCTGCGGTGGCTGTGGGTGTGCCACTGCACTCCAACCTAGGCAACAGAGTGAGACTCCAACTCAAAACAAATAAACAAACAAACAAATAAATAAAATATAGATAGAGATACCGGCTTTTGAAAATCTGACCCCTATGATTTTTACTGAAAAATGGAAGAAAAGTATAATTCCTCTTATTTAGGCTTAAGTGAATTTCTTAATCATTTAAAAAAATCTACATTTTTAAATGTTGTTTTTCTACAGTTATGATAACTTCATATTCAACATGGGAGAAGTTTAGGTTTAAACAGTTTTCTGTCCTCATAAGCTTATGTTCTACTGTGAAGGAGGAACATGAATCAAATAATCATATAAACACATGTACAGACTATGAAAAGTGCAATGAAAAAAGGCATACTTATTTTTTGAATACAAAGTAAATGTACCCTATAAATATAAAATATCATTCATGTTTCTGAAGTCTAGTTGGTATGTATAGAAATTAATAAAATTAAACTTTATTTTACTTATAATTTGAAATATGAATTTCAAAACTTTTTATTGTGAAAAAACTGTAAAAATGCACATAGAAGAGACAATAGTATTTAAAACCTTCATGTGTCTTCTGCTCTGCTTAACTGTTACGAGCATGCTGGGATTTGTAATTTACTTCCTTTTTTAGTACTTTACTGCCAATCCCAGTTAACATATCATTTCACCTGTAAATATTTCAGTATGTGTCTCTAATGAATAGATTTTTAAAAGTTTAACTGCAATATTATTATCAAGATACAAACAAAATCCATACCTTGCAACTGGTTGATATTTCTCTGGAGTCTCTGTTAATCTGTATCATTTCTTCATTACCCTCTCCTGGTTTGTGCATGCTGTTTATTTGTTGGACTGGGATATTTGCCTTATAAATTTTTCTTCATTCTATTTTTGGCTGGATTTGATTGGATTCAGGTTCATTTGGCTGAGGGGACAAGAATACTTTATAGATATGTTATTTAATTCCTGTTGGATCACATCAGGAAACATGCTGTCCTATTATTCACTTTTACTGTTGTGATTGATTGGTGGATTTAGATGTTATCGGCATTATCCTTTTGTTATAAAGTTTCCCATAACATTTTTACCTAATGTTATTAGTAACCACTGATGATCATTGCCTGAATTCATAATTTAATTGGGGGCTGCAAAATGATAAATTTTCTATTCTGTCATTCATTCTTTATTTTTAAATTGTGATTCTTGTAAAAGATTTTTGTTTCATTTTTTATTCCATTATCCTGCAATACCATCTATATAGGGAATGCAGGATAGAGAACTTGGCTCTTGTTATTCATTTTCAGAAGGAGTTGGTACCCTAAAAGCTGTGAGAGGTTACCCATGAGTTCTTTTTTTTTTTTCTTTTCAATTTTACTACAGACTCATGGATTTTAATTTAATGTATATGGCTTAATATACATTGTGGACTTGATTATTTTGATGATCAGATTATTCCATTTTTTTGACAATTGGGAGCCCCTTTAAGTGCATACCTGTGTGATTTTTGACATTAGTCTGGTAGTTATCCATAGGTTCCTTGTTTTCAAGCTCCAGGTGACCTAGGCTCATCTTGTACGTCTACTGCCCCAAATCCTGGAATTAACTAATCTTCCCAAAGAACCCTGGCTAAAAGTGGGAAATATTACTTAGATGTCTCAAAGATAAGAATACTAAGTTTACTGGATTATGATTTCTTTTATTGTATCCCTTTAATAAGTTATTTTCCTATAGATTTTTATAAGGCGTTTATTGTCTTATTTTTATGTCTTTATTTTTGTAACTCATCATTGGGGGAAGAATCCATTGAATTCAGAATTTTGGAATATCCTCAGACTTAATTTGATAAATTATTTTTGGTTTTTACTTTTCAGGTTACAGGAATTAACTGTTTGTTCAGAAGACAATGTTGATGTTCATGATATAGAATTGTTACAGTATATCAATGTGGATTGTGCAAAATTAAAACGACTCCTGAGGGGTAAGTTTAAATGTGTGATAGATATGAAATTAATCACTGGGTCAAAAACTAATATTATGAATGTATTAAGTATATTAACTGTGTTGAACTAGAACACCAAAAGTGAATTTTTATAATGCAAATCTCCTTGTGAAGTGACCAATAATGCATATAGTTAACTGATTTTTGAACCTTTGAAAATAATGCAATAGAGAAGATGAGTATCTTAAATCTTGGCAATGGAAAGTTTTGTTCGATTATAATTTTTGCTTTTAATAAAGAGAATGCAAGGGTGCTGTTATTTAATTTTTCTGGAATTTCATCTACTAAGGATGGCTATAGGTTATAGAAGTTATCTGCTTAGTTATTGTAGTACTTACAGAAGATAGTCTCTAGCAGGATATCAAAGTTTCATTGCAGAATGGAACCAGGAGATTGTGATCTTATGGTGAAAGGAGGAATTGAGCCAGTGTCATTTCTGACATTTCTATTTTCAGCTCTCTTATTGACTGACTTTACAGTATTGCAGAGTCCCTTATCCTTTCAGTGCTTAGTTTTACCTCCCTGTAGAGCAAGTCAATGGTAGTTCCACTGGGGCTATCATAACATCTAATACGTGATTTTAAAGCTTGGAAAGTGCCTCACATGATTATGTGAATTGAAATAAGCTATCAGAAGAAATTGAGAGAAATTCTGTGGAAAGCAATGATATGTTAATATAAATCAAATATCAGTGAGTCTTATTCATAAACCAAGTATAAATACCTAAATTTATTTTCCAAAAATTATTTTTTAGTTTCAGGTATTATTGGACCCTAGCCGATTTAAATGTGAAAAATTACAGTATGTAGTTCATACTTATTTTCATTTTACTTTGTAACTTGATTAAGAAATTGTCTTTTTTTAAATTTTTTTGAATTGGAGTCTCACTCCATCTCCCAGGCTGGAGTGCATTGGCACAGTCACGGCTCACCCCAACCTTGACCTCCTGGGCTCAGGTGATCTTTCCGCCTCAGCCTCCCAAGTAGCTGGGACTACAGCTGTGCATCACCACACCTGACTAATTTTTAAATTTTTTTTTTTTTTAGAGATGAGGTCTTGCTGTGTTGCCTATGCTGGTCTTGAACTCTTGGGCTCCAGCAGTCTTCCCACTACAGCCTCCTAGAGTGCTGGGATTACAGGCATGAGCCACCATGCCTGGATAGGAATTGTCAAACAACAATGTTTTTAGTGTCTTACCTAAATGGAGAAAACTGAATTATATTAGCTTTGAAAACTTCAACAATTCCACAGTATAGTTTTCAAGATACCTTGTTTAGTTTTCATAACATTTGCTTTGAAGTCAACAACTATTTTACCAGAGATGTAAAAAGGTTATATCTATATAGATGAATATTATAAAACTGTGTTCCATCCATATTACCCTTGTTCAGTGTTTATAATTTTAGGTCATTACCATTATGAAACCAAGCAACAATTGAGTTTTCAGTAACTTTAATAAAGGGAGAAAAAGGATAACTTTAGCTATTATTATGCCATGATAAAAACACATGGGCAGCAATTATTTTAGATTATAGTAAGCCACCATTTAATTCGTAGTTGAAATTTGTAAGATTTCAATAACTTCTCTTAAACATCGAGCAGTTAAGGAACTAAATGATAAAATTTAGAGGTCTCCTCTGTGAGTTAAAGTTAAGAAGTATATGTGGGTTTTATGACTTTTCCTAATTGTTCATTGATGTTTTGGAAGTAATTCTAGCTCAGGTTGCCTGTGATTAGATATTTGTGTAAAACACCAGTTTTCCTAGAAATCCATAATAATTAATTGAGATGGTTCTCCATGCCCAAATAAGAGAAACTAACTAAGTGGATAAGTGTCTTTTATATTGAGGTAACTTTTCCCCATTGGATACAGCTTCCTCATAAACATAAATTTTGGGTATACACTGAGAGGTATATAAAGTATACAGCCAATATTAAATAGGTCGGCAAAAAGATGACCTTAGGTACCATAGTAAAAGGAACGGGAACTTTATATAATAAGTAGTAAAGGTAGTAATGTGTTTTAAATTCAATTAGACAAGAATTTGTTGAGAAACTCTGTGCAAGAAGCCATGCTAAGTGCTGGGATTAATAAAATCTTCAATCTGTCCCTAAGGAGCTCATAGTATAGCTTATGAGACAAATGTATTATTTTCAAAACAATATGGTAAACTCAAATAGGGCAAGTGTAAAGTGAGAAAAGTATGTACTTGAGGGTGAAAGATGAGTAAGATGTGGAGGAACCAAGAGTAGGTCAGATCATTTTAATAAAAATATGGTAACATTTGCTGCATTTTCAGTTTGTGCCAGGCATAATGCTATGAGGTTTACATGCCTTTTCTCACCATCCTTACAATAACCCTATGAGGCGATTTTAGTAACTATCACCCATATACAGATGAGAAAACTGAAATTTGAGTAACATTTCCAAGGTCATAGAGCTAGGAATTGTCGGGGTAAAGATTCGGTTCACATCTGCCTATCTCCAGAACCAAAGTACTTGTCTGCTTCATTGTCGTACTTATGGGTTATGAGACTGGGAAATACCTTGGTCAGTATTTTATTTTAGATACATCACTTTGCATGAAATTTGCAGGGTGGCTTGGTATAGAAGGTTACATGAACTTTTGGGATTTGGTTGTGTAGTAATGTGAGAAATAGTGAGATTAGTGGAAATCTACATGAAATGGGATGAAGTGGGGACCAGTTTGATAGGTGTATTTAAGAAGTAGAATACATAGCATTTGGTGGTCAATTTAGATATATGAGGTTAGAGAGGTATTACCAAATATCACAGAACAAGCCATTTAAAGCAGGAAAGGGAAGAAGCGTTGGTAGTAGAGGAGGGGGTTGTCAGGAAAATGGTGAATTCAGTTTTAGATCTACTGAGTTTAAGGTGTCAGTAGGATGTCCAACCAGAAACTTGCAGAACTGAAGTATTAAAAGATACATACTTTGGAACTGAAATAGATTACTGTATAAAACACATTTAAGATGTCATAAAGCTAAAATTGATGACTGTAGGAAAGCAGAAAGATGAAAGAGCACTTGTGAAGTGTACTGCCTTTATTTGGAAATCAAAGGAGAGCAAGAGCAAAGAAAATTCAAGGGGTGCTTTTAAAAACTGATTTTGAGAGTAAGTTACTCATTTGCAAGTCCAGAAAAAGAAATTTACAATTAAAGAGTCTTTAGATTATTACTTCTATTATTTGAGAACTCATTTCTTAGAAAGATGTTTATGTGAATGTAAGAAAATTCTTATCCCTTTGTTAAAAATCCATAGGAGGAGTTCTTTGCCAAGGGACTGCTACCAGTAGGGTAGCTTATAGAGGGGTTATCTTTTCCAGATATAAATCTTTTTGTAAATTAGACAGTAAAGTTATAGAAAAAGGAATTAAAATACCCAATGTATTCATGTGGAGAAATGTTTAATGTTACTTACATTAAAAGTGCAGTATGCTATTTTGAACAATCAAATTAACACAATAAAGAAAATGTGCTTAATGATGGCAAGGAAGTGATGAAGGCACTTTCATATGCTGCTTGATGAGAGCATCATTTGGCCCAAGCCTTCTGAAAAGCAGCTTGGTAATCTTTATCAAGGGCCTTAAAAAATATTCATCTCTTTGATCAGACACTTGTACTTCCAGATATTTTCTAACTTTAAATAAGTAATCAGTAATGTGGAAAAATATTTGGATCCAAAAGTACTTATTAATGTGTTAATTTTTTATTTTGAGTTGGGGTCTCTTGTGAGAAAAAAGAGTGACACCCCAACTCAAAATAAAACATAAAAAATCAACACATTAGTAATACTTTTTCTAGACTTGCAATGGAATCGCAGTGGTATGATCATGGTTCACTATAGTTTCCAACTCCTGGGCTCAGGTGATCCTTCTGTCTCAGCCTTTTGAATAGTTGGAACTACAGGCATGCGCCACCATACCTGGCTAATTTTTAAATTTTTTTTGTAGAGATAAGGTATGGCTGTGTTGTCTAGGCTGATCTTCAACTCCTGGGCTCAAGTATTTCTCTTGCCTTGGCCTCTCAAAGTGCTGAGATTACAGGCATGAGCCACTATGCCCAGCCTTATTAATGTTATTTATAGTAGAGAAATATTGGAAAAATTTTAATGTGACAATTGGGAAATAGTTAAATAACCAGTGACTTAAGTATTCTGAGAGACATCAAAGCAGACTGAAAAGACTGACTTTCAAGCTCAGTTCAATCACTTTTTAGATCTGTAGCTTTATATACACAGTTTGCGTATCTGTAATATTCTGAAAGCATAAAGATTTCTAATCCAGGCTCGGTGGCACAGCCTGTAATCCTAGCACTTTGGGAGGCCAAGGCAAGTGGGTTGCCTGAGCCTGTGGGTTTGAGATCAGCCCAGGCAAGTTGGTGAGACCTCGTCTCTATAATAAATAAAAAATTAGCTGGGCATAGGAGTGCTTGCCCGTAGTTCCAGCTACTTGGAAGGCTGAGGCAGAAGGATCGCCAGAGTCCAGCAGGTGGAGGCTGCAGTGGCTGAGTGTGCCACTGCACTCCAGTTTAGGTGACAGAGTGAGACTCCAACTAAAAAAAAAAAAAAAAAATTCAAATGAATTAAATATATCATACTGAAAATACATGGTATGTGATAATTGTTCAAGTAATAGTTAAACTATTGTATATAGAGCCATCAAAAATATGTATGAAGCATTTTTAATGATATGGAAAAAAGTGAGGATGCTATATAAAGCAAAAATAGATTTGGTATCGCCTATATGATCTTAGTTATGTTATATTTGTCTTATAAATGCATAGGAAAATAGATGGAAGAAAATTCATCAAATGTTAACTGTGATGCCTCTGAATTGCAGAATCATGGGTGATATTTTAAATTTCCCTTAGACTGTTGTTTATTTAAAAAAAAATCTACAATGACTGTGTTTTATTCTTTTTTAAAGTTTTAAAATTTTTTTATTTTTAAGTCAAAGTCGCACTCTGTTGCCCAAGTTGGAGTGCAGTGGCACTATCATGGCTCACTGCAGCCACCCATACTGGATCCAAGTGATCCTCCTACCTCAGCTCCCAGGTAGCTGGTACTACAGGCGCATGCCACTAAACCTGGCTAATTTTTTAAAATTGTTTTTTGTAGAGACAGGGTATCACTATGTTCCCCAGGCTGGTCTCGAATTCCTGGGATTAAGCAATCCTCCCACCTCCCCCTCCCAGAATACTGGGATTACAAGAATGAGCCCTTATGCCTAGCCTTATTCTGTTTTGAAAGTAAGTTATCATTGAAAATGAAACAAAGGGAAAAATAGTCTTTGAAGATCAAGGCGTATTTGCCTTTTATTGAGTTTTGCTTCCAGTGGACATAACTATTGAGTTTTGGGTTTATGTTCCTTGTTTTTGTCTTTTCATTGCTTATAAATATTGGAACAAAAGTAATATGTAAAAGAAAAGCTATTTTGTTCTGAACTGTTTGTGTTAACTAATTAATCTAGAGTTAATTTTAAAATTTCCTTTTTCCAGAAACAGCATTTAAGTTTAAAGCCCTAAAGAAGGTTGCACAATTAGCAGTTATAAATAGCCTGGAAAAGGTAAGTTACAGCCTCTTTGGTATGAACATTTTGTTTTGGGTTATAAAATTTGCTGTCTTTAGCATTTTGGGTAAAAAGTCATGACTTTAGTGACAGTGAATTTATAGTTTTACATTAATTTTTAGGAAGAATATATTGCAATATTATGAAGGTGATTAGAAGTATGTGACATTTTCTTTACTATATTAGGAAAAGATCACTGCTTTCATGTAAAGACGTGTGTTTTGTAATTTGTAGGCATTTTGGAACTGGGTAGAAAATTATCCAGATGAGTTTACAAAGCTATACCAGATTCCACAGACAGATATGGCTGGTAAGGATAAGATCTTTTTTGTTTTGTTTTGTCTTTTAAACTCTTACTTATTCAAATCATTTTTGTTATAAAGGTGCTTTTACGTTTTCCATTGTCAACTGATGTCAAGTAGGAATACTATTTTTCTCTCATGTTTCTAAATTGCCCTCTAACCCTTTTCCTTTCCTTTGAACAAATAGGTAAAGAAATTTGAAGGGAAACTCTGATCTTTAGGCTTGTGGTTGGATAGTTGGCTCTTGGTTGTAGAAAAGCACTTTTTGGTGCTCCGAAGCTTTATTTTGTATTTAGGGAGATGTGTATAAAGTAGTAATATTCTTGCCAATAATGCAAGAATTCTCAGGACACAACTGTATGCAGAGAATACAGACTCCTGGAGATGTTGTAACTCTTTTGGGGGAAGCTGTCCAGTCTTTGTTGCTTAAGTACATCACACTTCGCATAAGGTCCTGAACATTGAGACTAAATATAAGATCGGCCATTCCGAAATGATGGATCAAGATCATTCTTCTAAAACATAGGCGATATAAAATTACTTGTCTACTTACCTGAGTAGATTTGTGTAGTTGTTTAAATGAACTTCCAACATTATCTTTTAAAACTATGACCTAGCAAAACCTCAATTTTTCAACCAATTCATCTTTGACAAAACCTCCATCACCTACCACTGGAGAGAGGAGAGCCTATTCAGTAAATGGTGCTGGGAAAACTGGCTGACCGCATGCAGAAGACTCAAACAAGAAAACAAGATCCCATCTATCCCCATACACAAAAAGTAACTCTAAATGGATTAGAGACCTAAATGTAAAACCTCAAACTATAAGAATCTTAGAAAATGCAGGACATACCCTTATGGAAATTGGAACTGACATCCAATTCCTGAACAAAACCCGAAACCCACAGGCCATAAGATAAAAGATAGACAAGTGGGACCTCATTAAACTGACAAGCTTCTGCAAAGCCAAAGAAACCATCAAGAGAGTAGGGAGACAGCCCACAGACTGGGAAAAAGTATTTGCCAACCCCAGGTCCGACAAAGGCTTAGCATCTTGGATCTACAAGGAACTCAAACGTGCTGAAAGGAAAAAACCAAACAACCCCATTAAAAAGTGGGCAACACCTCATCAACAAGGGTACCTATATAATGAACATTAGTATACCTAACCCTTAACTGTACCCCACAATTTTATAATAAAAAATATGTTTAAAAAAAAAAACTATGGCCTGTGGGTTTTTGCAGTGTTGGCTTTTGATTTAATAACGGATTTTGTTCTCATCTAATAATGTCGTTTAATTTATTTTTCACCTAGAGTGTGCAGAAAAGCTATTTGACTTGGTGGATGGTTTTGCTGAAAGTACCAAACGTAAAGCAGCAGTTTGGCCACTACAAATCATTCTCCTTATCTTGTGTCCAGAAATAATCCAGGATATATCCAAGGATGCGGTTGATGAAAACAACGTGAATAAGGTAAGGAGAGCAAAATCATTTCCATTATTTCCAGATGTAAAGCAGTTTATTTTACTCAAGGTGTGTATTGCTTTAGGCTTATTCTTTAAGCATATATTTCATGAGACCATTTAAATTATAACTATTTTAGGTCTCTTTGTTTGCTGGCTTTAGCAGAGATGTACTCATACATCATTTTATATGCAGGAGGAATAAATGATACCACTCAATCATCAAAGGTTTAAAACAGTCCCTTAGTTTCCTTCTTTTCCCAGAGAAGACTAAATGATATTTCTGTTAATTTTAAACATAGTTTCTCTAATATTCACTGCAAGAATTGCCCAACTAGACTTCATCACATTTATACTGTGTTATTTGTTTGTACTTAGGGGTGTCTCCACTTGATGATACTGAAATTATCTAGTCATTCTCATTTTAGGTATTTTATAACAGTTTTCAAAGAATTTTACAAGGAAGGTAGACTATTCCATACACTATCTGTAGTGAAATTGGCACTAAAACAACTGGTAATTCTAGAAGATTCTTATGGTTTTAAAAAAAATAAGAGCTGAGTATTCATCTTATTTTTTTATAGTCATAAACCCTTAATGTTAACATTTTTTTAAATCTAAAAAGCATATTATTATAAAGTCTATTCTATGTAAATAAAATGTCCCAGGAAATAAGAATGGATGTATGAAAAATTGCAAAAATTTGAAAATAAAATATCAGTTGAATAAATTATTAATCTTATTCTTTTTACTTGAATTTCATTATGTATTTTGCTTTGCAAATACATTTTTTTCTTTTTTTTTTGCCGCTTTGGGAGAAATGCTCTTAGCTGATTGAATACTGGTTTACCTGTGGTTGGAGATGTTCAAAATCAGCTGAATGATTCAGTACTTTGCAGAGGTATTGGATAAGGAATTAATGTGTTAAAGGGTAGATGAACCAGGTAATCCTTGAAAGTCTGTGATTCTATGGTCCCTCACTTAAGTCTGTATCCCAGCCTTTCCATTATGAGGACACCAATTTTCATGGTAGATTGTTTTGAAGCCTTTCAAAATAGTAAGGTTTTTTTTTTTTTTTTTGAGTTGGAGTCTCACTCTGTCGCTCAGACTGGAGTGCAGTGGCCGCTCCTGGCCACTGCAGCCTCGACCTGCTGGGCTCTGGCGATCCTTCCGCCTCAGACTTCTGAGTAGCCGGAATTACAGGCACATGCTACCACACCCGGCTGATTTTTTGATTTATTGTAGAGGTGAGGTCTCACTGCCCAGGCGGGTCTCAAACCTCGGCCTCAGTCAGTCCACTCACCTCAGCTTCCCAAAGGCGCGGGATTACAGGCTGAGCCACCGAGCCTGGCTGATATGTTTTTCTTTATTGGAAGCAGAAATAGGTAAAGAGCTACTATAAATTCAGTAGTACTCTTAAGTGAATTTACTTTTTTTTTTTTTGAGTCAGGATCACTCTGTCATCCAGGCTGATAAAGTATAGTTGCATGATCATGGCTCACCGCAGCCTTAACCTCCTGGGCTCAGGTGATCCTTCTGCCTCAGCCTCCCAAGTAGCCAGACCTGCAGGCTGCTACCTCCATACCTAGCTAACTTTTTTTTTTTTTTTGTAGAGATGGAATCTCACTATGTTGCCCAGGCTGGTCTTGAATTCCTGGCCTCAATCAATCCTCTTGCCTCAGCCTCCCAAAGTGCTGGGATTACAGGCATGTGCTGCTGTGCAGGCTCTCTTAAGCAACCAGCTCTCAAGAGAACTCACTCTTTACTGTGGAAGGGAACCAAGCTGTTCATGAGGGATCCACCCCCCCATGACACAAACACCTTTCACTAGGCCCTACCTTCAACACTGGGGATGACATTTCAACATGAGATTTGGAGAGAATATATATTCAAATGCTGTCACTGTTCCTCAAAATAATTAATAGAGATTTAAACATTTCTTTTAATATTAGATAATATTCTATTACACTCATTTACCCATTTACCTCATTTACCCATTTCGCTGTAAATGAATGGATATTTAGATGTTTTCAGTTTTTTGACATTATAATTAATCCTTAAGTCTATAGACTAGAATCCCAAAACTGGGATTACTGTGTCATAGGCGTTTATATTTAAAATTTTTGATAGTTGTTTGTAGATTTACATTCCCTAGTAGTTGCAGATGGTCACATTTTTGCTAACACTGAATTAGATTGCCTATTTTCCTGCATTCTCATCAGGACTACCTATTTTTCAGATTTTTAAACTTTTGCCACACTAATGAGGTAAGATAATATCTCTTCTCAAGTGTTCTTACCTTCCTCCTTAAAGGTAAAATGTGTGGCCGGGCTCGGTGGCTCAGCCTGTAATCCCGCACCTTTGGGAGGCTGAGGTGAGT